GGAGTCTATTATACAAGATTATCTAAAAAAGTGTGTCAAATCTCTGAAAACCTGATTAAAATCTATAATTAAAAATAGAGGCGGTAATACGCATTATTAAAAATCATACAACCAATCGAAATCTTTTAATTTTCCCATTAATTTGCGGCTTACATTTTTATACCAAACTCGCGAAAAATCATTAAATTTGATTTTCCTCTATTTTCGAGCAATAATTTTTATTTAAATTATTCAACGATTATTGATTTGGGTACCTAGGGTATACCATATATATATATAGGGTAACCCATATATAATAACAAAATTAATAAAAAAATATCATATCTTAAGTTTGTCCATTTTCTCTAGGTGGCCCGATTTTTTCGCACGCCAGTGTAGTTTTTATTCCGGAAATCATTCGGAGGTGAGAATGGGGATGAAAGTTAGTATTGGGAAGCAAGCTAGAGACGAACCCGACCGAAGCGAGGCGCTAGTAATTTTACAAGAGCAACTACAGAGTTTCTCGCCGGAGGTAGCTTCCTCACCGACTGACTATACACTGACGCTCTTTGACTCAAAAGTGCTTGTATAGGTCTAATTGAATAAAGTTTAAATTCATTCATGTGTTCTTATATACGGTACCTACAGACAGGCAGTAGTAGTAGACATTGATACTAGCTAGCTGATGTATACAAGACAATGATGGAAATATAATGCGAAAAATATATGGGAATTATGGCATTCCCATGAATTTTAGATATACCTATCGCTAATATGTCATGGTAAAAAAAATTCTTCTGATCCTATTTTGTTTGGCATGAACCGACGATAGATGGCGCGAGCCCGATCGTTGGTGTGGACATATTTTTTTGTGTGAAAAAAAAAAACAAAATGCGAAAATGAAATCAATTTTGGTTATACAAAATTAACGACATTGATAAATATTAACGTCACGTTCATGCTACTACCAAAAAGCCATTCAGGAGCAACGAAATATTAGTTTAATTGAATGTTAATAGATGGCGTTATATATTCATTTTTTGTTAAAACGCAGGATCGAAAAAAACAACGCGCGCGCTATTTTTTTATGACCTTTCCAATAAAGGCAGTTAAAAAAAACAATATGATATAATTAATTTATTTATTAGAACAATTCACTACTATGTATGATAATAAACCAAAACAGTTTTGGTATAAAACTAATTCTAAACATTGCACATTCTATGTCGATTACACTATTCATAGGTTCGTACCACACTCGACTCTTCTTTTAAAGTTCAAACAAATAAGTTATTTTCAGGCTTTATAAGGCAAGATATAGGTTTTTTTTATTATATTGCTTTTTTGCATAGTAACAAAAGTAGTCGAATGTGGTATGGCCATACACTAATATATATAATGGATATTTTAGAAGTGATATATATACATATAACATATTTATATATCGTGGGTAACAAAAATATATTTATTATTCATAAACATTTATTAACAATATTAAATTATTATTTGATAATTTGCTTTACAAAAGCTAATTCGTCTCAAAATATTTTTGTACTACTTTAATTTATTTTTAAATTGAGCAATAAACGTTTATGAATTCAACAACAATATTTCTTAACCAATATAAAAATATCACTGGCAATTATTTCGAAAAAAAAACAACAAAAAATTAACATAATGTTACAAATATAATTTTCGATTATTATATGTTTAGATTTTATTTAAAGTTACATATAAACATAATAACATGTAATATATATATATATATATATATATATATATATATATATATATATATACATTATTTCAGAAATCAAGAAATGCGAGAGTTGTAAAACAAATTTTAGCGAGAAACACTCAAATATTTCTTATACATTATAATCATTAAAAAAAAGTTATAAAAATAACAATAATAAAATTGCTAAAAGCTTTTCATTATTATATTAAATAATATTGATAATAAACATATATAATAAATTCGAAAAAATAAGATATTATCTATAGAGTTCATATATATATGAACAACACACATCTATATTAGAGGAATAAAAACTTCGTTTTTTTTAGGATATTTAACATAATAACGATAATTATATTAAAAAATTAAATCTACAACAAAAATAAACTTAACGTAGTCATGATTGTTTGTAGTCATGGATAAAACTCACTGGGAGGATATTTTTAAACTTCCATAAAATAACTAAAAAGTACAGACGTAGTCAACTCATTTAATTATTTAGTGGTTTTTAACCGACTTCCAAAAAGGAGGAGGGTCTACATATGTTTGTATGTATTTTTTTTTTGTTAAATTTTATTATTCCCACACAAAAAAAAAATTAAAATATGTTACAATTAATGATTTTTCATGATTTTTAATAAATAATTAATGATTTGTATGTATGGGAAATACAAAAGAAATTTTGGCAATTAACTATTATGCATTTGACTACGTCCATGAAATGTGATGTAATAACAAATAGTCTACAAGCAATTATTTTTATTCTAAAACTGACCATCGCGTGAATTATAGCTATAGGCACTAATTTATTGCTACCTTGTATATATTATAGAATTTTTTAAATTTTCATTTAGTTAAATAAAAAAAAATTAAAATAGTATTTTTCAAGTTATACTTCTTTTGGCACGTTTGGAAAAAAATATGAGAGTAAAATTTTAATGATGCGCGCGCATACCGACAGCCGAAAAGCGGCATGATGAAGTTAGCAGCATTCCTTTTATAAACAGAGAGTTGTGACATACGGGATGAAATCTTTAGCTATTTCTGTTCTGTTACGCCAAAGAAGTATAACTTCTTACGTGCGTACATAAGTACACACACGTTTTTTTTTTAATTTAAATTTTAATTTATTTACTAATTAAGTTCTATAATTGCCAATTTATATTAGTTTAGATTTTAAACTTTTAAATATTGCGGTCAAAGTGTACAAAAGTAATAAATAAGGATGTCGTATTTTTTACTACACTAACTAAGCTATCTTATCACAAGTGACCAACTTACCAAAACTATACATTCGGAAGACGTTTGATTTTGTTGTTTTCTCCACAATATAACTAAAATCAAGCCAATAGAAATAAGCACGTATTATAACTAAAACTATCCTGTAACAGCTGTAGGGCAGAATATATCTATCGTTTAATGTTCACACTTCTCAAATATATAACTAATTTTAATATTTTTGAGAAGAAACTTATTTTTTAATAACTTTTATTTTTAGTTAAATTTAAAATAAGTTATTTTTATTGTGACAATGAAATATGAGATGATTATTTAAAGTTTTTTTTTCCATTTATTAAGCTTTGGACAACGATCAAAAACTTCTATTTTTTTACTAATAAAAAACTTCTGCACAAACAAAATACATAATAACATTCTTACTAATTTTTTTTTGTAATATAATTCTTATTTATTGCTTCATTTGTCAATTAAACTAAAATATTTTTGTATAATTTTTTTATACTTTATAAGTAAATTTTTTAAGGCTATACTTCTTTTGGCACGTTTGGAAAAAAATATGGATTAGCTGAAAGCAACATGATGAAGTTAGCTGCATTCCTTTTACAAAACAGAAAGTTGTGACATACGGGATGAAATCTTTAGCTATTTTTGTTCTGTTACGGCAAAGAAGTATAACTTCTTACGTGCGTACATAAGTACTCACACACGTTTTGTTTTAGTTATAAATAGTCACAAGTCGAAAAACAAACTTAACATTATGGCATAGAATAATTCTGTTTTAGTTACTCCACCGAACTACACTAGTTGAGCGTTCTTAATCGATAGGCAAATATAATATTTAGTACATTTGGTTTTTGCTAAAATGTGGATAAAAGCACCTTCGCACAGACCAGTGTCACTCTTTTCATTCTATTGTACAAATATTAGAACAACTTTTTTTTTACTTTTATTGAATTTTATATTATATCCTATACAATTCTTTGAGTTTATTATAATATATGATTTATAAACAATATTTAAATTAATTTACATATAAAATAAACGTGAGAATCTGTTTTGCTTTATTTAAATATCAAAAATTGGGCTAGAGATAGGTTTAATAGCAATTGATTATATATTATATTTATTATTCCTCTTTTAATCACATATTTATTTATTATTTTATTTTTTAAGTTTCTAATCATCTTAAAACGTATCTTGCTTTAACTAAAATATATTATTTTCATTTATTCATTAAAATCCTTTATCACAATATCTAAAAGATCAACAATAAATAAAATATTTAAAATAAAAAAGAAGTATAAATCTGTCCAAAAAAGCATTATACATTTAAAAATATTTAAGCTATGAAATACACAGAAAGAGCCATATATACGGATTTAGTTATTAATTTAATAATTCTAAATAGTATTATGTATCGAGACAATTCATTAATAATATCACGTTGTTTGAGCCGTTACCAATTTGATCAAGTGGCAAGTTATTTTTTTTAAATTCGACGGTAGTCAGAAATTATATTATTTAGGGTCACTTGCGTCAATTTTTTTCATTTGATTTTTATTTCTTTTACAGTCAATAATATTATATAATAATAATTATGATAAATATAATTGAAAATATTCCATTTTACATTATAAAAATAATATCAATTATATGTGTAGCAAACGTCAAGTTGTACGTACGTCAGTTTGACGTTTTCTAGACATTTTTAGGACATTTAAATCAAATCAAGAAATTGGTGCTAGTGACCGTTTGAACGTTCATTGAAAAAAACATTGAAAAAAATTGTGAATTTATAAAATGATGCGATTTGAGCCCTTGTCAAAGTATCTACAAAGGAATTTGTATGTACAGATTTTTAACACTTTGGTTCACAAATAAACTATGGTAATGTGTTCTACATTCATCCAATCCTAAATCCATCCAATACTAAATTATTTAAACTACACATTATAGTCTAAAATTTGAGCGATTCTGTCATATAATATATGACCAAATATAACAGCTATGATATATATGTATATATTCTATGCTCTACATTTCAGTTGACCATAAATATTGGCCATTCGGGGCAAGCGGCCGGAGGTGGGATCGGTAAGGGGGACCCCCCGCCTACAGATACTACCTCTGGTATCTGTAAACAAGAAAATCATCTTTAATGTGATACAAATACTCTACATGTAATAGAAATTGTTTCTAACACATAATTATTATATATTTATAGTTTTAGTGATTATAGCCATGGAAATATGTAAGCGGGATTTGAACCCGTGATATTGACCATATCTCCGTAAGTACCTTATGATTCAAATTAATTTACAATATAAAGAAATATAAATATGTTGGGACATTCTACCAGCACCATCTTGTTCCATCGAGGCTTGTATTATGGATACCGGATAGTTGATACACTACACATATAAAACTTTAAATACATCCATATTTTATTATAAATATAAACACCCATGACTGAAGTACAAACATTCGTGCTCATCACACAAATGAATGCCCAAAGCGGGATTCGAATCCGCGACCGTTGGCACAGCAAGTAGGGTCACTACAAACTGAGGCAAACGTGTCATCAGATATAATTTAAACATTAGATTTAGATTATAATTCACTTATACGCATTACTAATTCTAGAGTGGCATAAAGAATAAATATTTACCATGGTTTGAGGGTGATGTGGGGGATGATAGTAATGTGCAGGCGACACGGGGGGTGTCGGGTAACCCCAGTAGACCAGCGGAGGTGGTAAGGTCGGACCCATCGCTGGATAATAATATGTTACAGGACCTACAAAAACATCAATCAAAAACAACCATTCCTAATGATTTTACCTACAATATAAACCTAATTTCGTATAATGATTCAATATAACAATTTTATTACTCATGCAATGATAATTGTTAGTCACAAATCTTAATACAGGTCCTTTGTAAATATACGTAATAACATTAGTTTTTCTTTGCCTAAAGACCAATGCGTGTTAGGTTCTCGTTGATTTAAATAATGATTTCTACTTAGAAATCGTTTTCTTTATTATATGTGAATTCCCATAGATATAATATAGTTAACAAGTTTAGATGAAATGCTTTGCTGAATTAGAGAAAAAATAAGAAGTAACCTAATTTTGTTTCATAAAGCCAATATTTTCCTTGAAAAATGATTTACTAAATATTATAATCCTTAACAAAACGCTAATAATAAATTTAGATATCGTGAACAAAATTACTATACGAAACATATTTACAGCAAAACATTTGAACGGACAGACAAACACAATGTAGTTAAATAAATTGATGAACACTCACCGGGAATCGAATCGCATACCAGTCCACCAAAGCAGTGCACTTACACCAATTACACGTCGCCGTCGCCGCAACCAAGCTTCGGACTTTACCAAACTTTTCTCCTATACCCCTGACCTATATAGCACCTTGCGACCTCAACTACATACATTATGATTAAAGAAACAACTTTAATTATGACTATACCATTTTTAATAATTTTTATATATGTATAGCTGTGAAAAAATCAAGCAAATAACTGTTAATAATATTTTTTGACTTGTGACAGTCTTTTAGTGAATGTTATGAAGACTATACATTATTTTATTTCTCTGCGTTTTAGGTTTTTTGCGAAGTTGAGGTCGCTGTTAAATAAATGCGATACTCAAGAATAGAAGGAGTATTTATGTCCCACAACAATGATAAACGATACTTACGCCGGTTACGATGTACTGGTAGGTCACCTTAGCCCATGACCCTACTCCTCTAAGAAAGCACAAAAACTTTCTACACACACTGAAGCCTTAACTTTCCCATTTATATAATATTTCGTAATTTTTCTATCACCGATCCATGCATTAGGAAGCACGAATGTTTATTTCATTTTAAAGTAGAGCCGTTTATAATACAAAATGCTGATAGGACATGCTGAGTGTCAGTCAATTTCACTGAAAGTCGTGAGTTTGAATCTCTTTTAAATCGTCTTGTCAATAAAATCATGAATATAATATGTAATAGGTATATGGTAATCAGATTATACTAAAACAAAATAAAACAATTAATTTTCTTGTTGTGTTCAGTATTCATTTTAAGGCAATTTTAAATAAAAGCATATGAATAATATTTTAAAAATCTTATTTCACCGATCAATCCTCCTCGTGCTTTCTCCATTTTAAATCACATTGGCGAAATAATCTGTATTTTATATTATTCTGTATCGCTTGAAAACCATATTAACAAGAGAATTAAGTATATAATATATATATGCATTTTTGATGATATAAAGGAATTTTGATTTTTAAAGTTTTTTGCATGACTCTATTAACATTTTGAACTATTATAAAAATAAAAGAATGCTCTACTTTAAACTTTTAATAATTATTTACTTCTGTGCTTTTTACTGTGATCCATTTTAATTTTTACCAAGTTTAAAATTGTACCCATATTCATATGTATATATGTATTAAGAATTATAGAATTCTAGATATTTCTAAATACTAAGCTTTGTTAGGAGGTGGGGGACATGATTGTGCTATTTAATTGTTACCTTGTGAAGGAAAGTTATGTTTATATGCTATATTAGTAGAGTGACCCGGTTTTACTCGGGAAAGACGACATTTAGATTAAATTATATGAACATGGATGATATTAAAAGTAATAAAGTATATCCAGTAGTTTTGCATGGTCAAACATTATTTAAAAATCAAATATTTCTCCATTTTTAAATTTACATTACATAATTTGAATCAAAAAGTAAAAGTTTCGGTCCAAAATAAACGTATTAATAATACTATTTTAAATTAACTGCCTACTAAAACAAATTCCAAGAATAATAGGCATCATTTTAAACGTGCAGCGCCAATATCATAGACTAAGAACGACATAGTTAGTAACATAGAGTATAGAAGGTCGAGACCATAGACAAGTTAAGCCATAGAGTTAGTATATTAGCCCTCCTTCACAAGTCGATATAACTAAATACACCCAAACATATGAAATAGCACAACCACCAATGTGCACACTGCAGTGAAACTCGCAATAATCAATATCTAACATGAAATTTATCGATTTATTAAAAAGTACGCAATAACTAAACAATAACTATCAATAATGTTAAGAATAAGATGATATAACTATAGAAACGTTTTATAATTTCTTATATCTAGTCTATGTTATCTTACGCTATATGTTGGACCCCTGTATACAAGGTATTTAATAACGCCAATGAAAGTATACCAAAAAAAAGAACAATTATGGTTTTTTTTATATGAAAAAAAAAAGTTTTTAGCGTTATTAGATTCCAGAAATTAAAATATAGTGAGTTTATATTCAATTTTACACCAGATTGTGTCAACATTGATCGTGTTGGAAATTGACAGGTTAAAATAAGCTTTCACTAAAACAAATGGTTTGATTCCTCACACCACCTCCCCCAGTCACTACACGTTGGGATATTTCAACTATTTTAAATAAAAAAAAATATTTAAAATATTTTAATTCGTGTGCAAAATAAGAAAAAGTAATTAAAAAGTAAAAAATACTGATTTTTGATATAAATAATTATTTTTTAATATTCTTGGAGAAAATTGTAATATTTTAGCAGTTAATAAGATTAAACTATGTAATGAAATTTTAAGTGGCGTATTAGAATATAGAATAAAAATCATGAATATAGGTTGTTTTTTTTTTTAAATTAAAAATCGTGTTTATTATTAAATAAAAATAATTAAAATTAGACAAAAAAAATTGAATATCCCAGTCCAGTAAGATCACAAAGAAATTAAAGCGAGAAAGGCTAAAGTAGATAAAGCTGTGCGTGTTAATGACTGAGGGACTACCACAAACCACTCATGAATGCCCTTTGTAAAGTCAGCAAATACGTGATTTCTTCAAAAAAAACCATGTTTTTTTTTTAAATGACAGACAGTTCATAAACTAAGATCAATTTTAAATTAATTTTAGAAGCAAAGATTGATTAAAATTATTTTATTACATTTATTCTTTTTTTTTTTAAAGAAATCATAATGTAAATGCGACTTACACTACAAAGAGTACTATTTGGAAGACACTAAGCTATATATTTTCTTATTATAAAGCGGGGATTCACCGTAACTGTTTTACGTAAATTGGACATTTTATGTAATTTCACCATTTGATACTCAAAAATGATAAAAATATATTTTTTTTTTGATTAGATGTTATACATAAAATATATTTTTTTAAGTAAGAAATGGTGAAATTTTTCAATGTTAAATATATCGTAGTAGTCAATTCATAACCAAAATACCAAGATAAAGCTATTTACCGTACATTTTGTATTAAACATCAACATACAAATAAAGAGTTATCCTCACAATGTGCTCTGGAAAATCGAATGAAACCTGATAAAGCGTTGTTTGTATATTTTTTATATAACCATGCAAACCTTATAACCATATATAATCCATGCGCAATCCCGGTTTTTTTTTGTAGAAACACGTATTTTTATAAGAATGCAAAAACTTACCGCTTTTATTCCAACTTCATGCAATTTTCCATAACACAACCTCGGATATATAGAGTATTACAACACTCATGTTATAGAGTGAAAGTGTGGTAGCTCAACCAGTCGAGTAGCCAGGTTTTAAATACACAAAAATAATTATAATTGCTTTAACCTCCTAATATTTTTAAAATAATTTATCACCAATTTTTATTGAATATTGTACTATCATATTACTAATCAGTACTACAGTCATAGTTATTTGTAATCTGTGCAAATAACAAAAAAAGAGTTTTTTTTTTTAAATATTCCATACTCGTGATTGAACTCCAAATATCACAATATAAATGGCTAATAAAAATTAACACAGTATTTTAAACTAAACTAATGTAACTTCGGCGTCAGACCAATGTTAGAACCGCCAAAGGTTTATGAGGCTGTCAGCGTAAAAGGGGCCTAACTTCAAATATTTTTAATGAAAAAAAATATATGTACATATAGCCACTGTTAAAAAATTTCAATAATTACATATAAAATTATAAATATTTATTATGGTATAAAAACAAGTATGCCATTTTAAAATTTTAGAGTTAGGCCTCTTTTAATGACGCCTTATAAATGACAGAACAAATTAGCCTTTGCACCTGTGTCAAGCCCCATACCTAGTGATTGAGACAATGGCAACACCATACAATGATAGAATTATAGAATTACCCGCTTTAACATATTATCAAGAGTAAATACTGAAAATATGTTATAAATATAATATTTTTAATAATAATTCATGTGGTGTGAGGTACGATGATATCATGTTTATTGTTTAAAGGACGAAAGACAATTAAGTTTTGTGGAATGGTAGGAGAGGAATTATAACGCTGTCAGGGAAACTGCCAACCAAATAAAATTATATCTAAAAAGCGAATACCTAATTAAATTCATAACACCTAGGTGCATCAACAAAAATTGCCAAAACACATACGAACAAACAACAAACGTGTAAAGTACAAAAAGTGTAAACTACCGGAAAAAAACCAATTAAGTACCTATTTTCCTTTCGATAAGTACCTACATTTCAGACTTTGTATCAGCCTTGAAAAAAATTGGCAAAATTTGCAAATGGAATGTCTAATATTATTAAAAAATTAAAAAAAAATCACAATCACGCGATAATCTATAGCTACTCCACTTGTCATTGATCAACAACCTCGGGTTCACTTATAAAAATATAAACTTCAACAATGATTAAAGTCAGTAAAAATCAACAAAAAAAACTTGATTTTCATGTAAACTTATGCTAAAGTTGCAATAGCTGCCGGAATTCCTACAGTTCGTCACGACCCTTAAATTCATATATTAATATATAAAATGGTGTTCTAAGAAGTAATTGGTAAAGAAATATTGAAAATATAGTAAATAGAGACGTTTTAGTTTACACTGTAGTGTCATTTTTTGAATTAAAAAAAAACAAGTTATATTAATTTTTTTTTAATTCTTAATACAGACACAAAGACCTGTAAAGTAAATTAGCACAATTTTATTATATTCTCTATATTTTTTAAACAGCCGTTTAAATTCATCAATAAACTAATAGATAAAGGCACTAAATATTACGATTTTTAATTTGAGCGTATTGTCATATTTTTACCCTGTTATTTCGACCGCCCGTGCCGATTGAACGTCAGGTACCAAAGTATTTAGGTACCTATAGCTAATATATTATAATAGTTACGCTACTATCATCGAAAAGTTAATTTAAGTACTACGTGAATGGTGAACCTTATATATAAATATATAACAATAGATTAAAGAATCTTATTGCTTTTCTATAGTGTCAAAAAAAAAACAATTTTTTGCCGCCAAAATTAGTTTGACGTTTGATTATTTCTTTCAATATAGTTCACCGAAATTTCGGGCTAAAATTACATTCCGGGGTAATACGGGTAAGTTGGGAACATTGACATTGACAATGAGCCAGGGAAGGGAGTTGATATTGAGGGGGGAAGTGCGGCCGATAGGGCTGTCCCATATCCCGGTAGAGTGGAGAAAGTTGGGATAGTGTTGTACGTTGATAGCATGGGGGCTGAATTCGCATACGAAAATAGGGGTGGTGATGACGCATACGACATTACAGGGAGGGATAATTGGGGGGCCATTTGAGGGACTGTATACGGTCTTTTCGCGGGGGTGGTATCTGTGGGAGTGAACGCGCGGTCGTAAGTGCGTTTGGTTGGCAGTAACTGTTGTTGGGGGAGCATTGGGATGGAAGGGTAGGTTGGGGGTCGACCGTAGGGTAGAAGGGTGGGAAGGACAGGGGGTCTTAGGGAGAGAAGAAGGTTCTCATGTTGCCGAGCTAGTAGGGTGTGGTGGGCAATGCTCTGAGCGAGGATACGTGGAGGGGGTTGGGGGTTGAACGTACCAGGGGATAGCACCTTAGGCGATGTGGCAGGAGTGACTCCGCCGGTCAACACTAGGTTCATATCGTCGCCTGAACATTGGAACACCTGTAAGTAATGTTGCTTTAGAAATACATATTTACTTACTACTTACCAAGGAAATATTTTAGGAGTACAGATTTTTGATCATTTGATTTGAAACAATTATTTATGATACGAATCTTCTTCTTCAAGATCAATTGAACGTCAGACATTATTTATAACTTAGTAAAAACTCCAAGACATGGTTAATCAAGACATTGTACATAATATTATACCTTTTTATTAAAATTCATTTAAATTAAAAAATATAGTCAGTTGTGGCTGAAGATTCTGAGGTCCTGGGTTCGAGTCCCGGGTTAGAATCGTCCACTCGTTATGGATTTCGATTGATTAGGAAGACTTTTTTAAATTTAAAACCATTATATTGTCGCATCTACTGGTGACAGGAGAGAAGGCTGGTTTTTCGCCCAAAGAATCGGCATTGCCATTCAGCGGGGAATGCGGCTAGCATCCATTCTACTATTCCACGCGGACATGACTCGTACAGCGTACATTTGTTTTGTATATCTTTATATATATAATTCTTCTGTGAGTGTGTATGTCACTGAACTTCTCCCAAACGACTGGACCGATTTTGATGGAATTTTTTATGTGTGTTCAAGGGGATCTGGGAATGGTTTAGATTCACAATTTGAATAAAAATTTTCATAAAAAAAATTATTAAAAAAAAGTTTGTAATTTTCAAATTAAACACGTGTAGACAGAACAACGTCTGTCGGGTCCGCTAGTATTATATAATTAAGTATATTTGTAATTCCCTTTATTGTAAATATTTAAAGCATCTCACCTCGATGTACCGTTGTTTCTTGCCAAACGTCATGTACCGATGGTGTTTCTGTTGCGCACAGAGGAAGGCGCTAGCTTCACTGTCCATTTGTATGAATGCTTCACCGCTAGGGTGACCCTAGTTAGAGAGAGGACGATGGGTGAATATTAATTATACAACATAATTGGACTAATATTATAAATGCGAGTTTGTATGTTTGTTATTTTGTTACTTCACTCTGAAACGGCTGTACGGATTTGGATGTAGTATACAGATAGACCTGGAGTAATACAAACGCTATAGTTAGTAACACAATTTGCCCAATAAGTGGCGCTGCTTATATAATGATAAGTACCTGGACTTATACTTTTTGGGAAAAGATGTTAAACATACGTTTTTTCAATGAAAAAAAATAGATAAAATTAAAAAGCAAAACCTTAGGTTCCGAGAAACACGAAATAAATTTATATATATACAAAAATTGCTCTTAAGTATTATAGGATAACATCTAAATTCTAAACAATCATAATCGTAATATTATGGAAATGAACACTAATTACGTTTATGACAGCCGGAGGACTTAAAAACCAAACAAAAAAAAAACATAAATAAATAAATATTTAAGGGGGCTCCTATACAACAGACATTATTTTTTGCCGTTTTTACAGATAATGGTACGGAACCCCTCAAGCGCGAGTCCGATTCGCACTTGGCCGGTTCTTTAAGTCGAAGATAGTAAAAGAAAATTGACTTTCATCACTTACTTGAGCATTGTACACCATGTGCACTCCCTGCATAACTATGTTCTTTGCGAATTCATCTAAAAATGTCAGAATGTGTTCAACCTGAAATGAAACGATTAATGATAATCACTCCCACTTTATTTAATAATTCAAGTCTATCAACTTTTTATATGTTTGTGTAATTGTGTATACATTAGTTAAGGAATTGATACTTTTAATAAAACTTTTATTGATTAAGAAAACTAATTAAATTTATTTTCCGACTAATGGCTAGTTAAGTCTCGGTGGCCTAGAGGTTAGCATATACGGCTACAGATCGTCCTGGTTTCGAGTCCCGGATCGGGCCAAGTTTAATTACTGAGTTTATCCGTTAAGATATTCTGAGTAACAGCCCGGAGTTGGGAAGTTGGCGGTATTGCACTTCCATGCCGAGGCAAAACACATGTCGCGTCGCTCTTGCGCCTTCAGTCTCACCGCGAGTATCAAAGTATAGACACATCGGACATTGAAAATTACATGAATAGAGAGTGTAAAGAGAGCACGTTATGTCTATGCGTACACACTACACAGACACACGCGCTACACTATAATATCTCCTGTTAGCTAGTCTCAGTGAGATTGGCTGCCGTGGTCGAAATCGCTCAAGAAAACATTATTAATCAAGCAAAATTTACTTACAATGTCAAATCGTACTACTATTATAATTGCAAAAGTGTGAATGTGTGTATGTTTGTTATCCTTTCACGCCAAAACTGCTGACGCGGATAAACTGTTTAGAGATATAATAAAAAAGTACTATGAAGAAGAACAACAAACTAAACTTACCTGAGCTTCATAAGGTAACCCTCTCAATCTAACACAGTCCTTAGCTGTACCAGAAGTGATGACGTGCTGCGGAACTAGCGCTACTGGTAACAGTCCTTCTGCTGGTGGGTTCGCTGTGGAGGGCGTACTAGCTTGACTTGTGCGCGTTTCTAATGACCGGTTTAGTACCTTGTGATGGAAGAAATTGGATGTTATTATATTAATCCTTTATATATAACAGTTAAAAAAAACATTGTGCTAAAAAAGTAAAAATTAAAGCTTACATTTTTTAACAAATGAAAAATGCCAACTTATTTATAAGCTACGGCGTTACTTTAGTTTAACGATATTTTTGAAAAGGTTTATATAATACATTAACTATTATTGATGTTGAAATTCATAGATATTCCTTTTAAAAAAAATGTGCCGCAGATAAATTAATTACTTCGGCAAAAGCCACAAGTCCTAGTTAAGTTACAGGACCTGGTTTAAAAATGATCTATAAATAAAAAATATACCTAAATCTAAAATACTAATATTTTTCATTACTTATATCAAGAATTAGAATCTTTATATTAACAACTTTTACCGATATCATAATCAAATTTTAATTAAACTCTCATTACATTAAAACCTATGATAAAACTACATAGACAATACAACTGTCATTATTGTAAACATTTTAACTATAGCATCTAGATAAGTGTATGTACGCAAATCTTACCATGAGTCCAAGGGCAGCGTGCGCATAAAGCAAAATCGCAAAATTACCACAAATCTTATTGTTCTCATGTCGCATGTGAATAAGTATGGCATTTACAATTGTTTATCTAAATTGAATTGTTTTGATGTTTCTTTATGCAATAAAAGCGATTCAATCTCGCTCCGCTCGGGTTCGACCCTAGGTACTTTTTGACGGTTATTACCTACAGATTTTTCAGAGAAGAGATATTTTCCCGCAGTAAAAAGTATCCAATATGTCGACCCGGATAACCAGCTATCATCATACCAAACTTCATCAAAATCTGTCCGGTGGTTTTCTCGTGATGAGTTCCCAGACAGATAGTTTATTCAATAACTTATTTATCTATTATATTTCATTGTATTATTTTAACGATATGTCCTAAATATAGTAATATACTTTTCATTTGCGCAAGCGATTTAAAATTTAAATTAATCAGTATTTTAAATGATTAGCATAACTATCAAACCGGTAACAGCCTGATACCGTATCAATACGACTTTTAAAGAATATACTTAAACGAGTGTGTACTATGTACGTAGACTCTAAGTTTTAAAAGAAAAAATTTAATGCCGGCTCAAATTTGCACATCCTATGTAATTCATTTTTAACTATTTCTACCTACGTTAAATTACCGGACCATGGCATGACAATGGTCTGGGAAACATTGCTTTAGAGGATATTGACTACATGATGAAGACCTAAGATCCCCCTACCCCGGTTTCATTCATCAAGCGGAGCATTCGCATGCGATCGCTTGATGAATGGAACCAGCGATACCAAGATGGCGAGACCGCTAGCGTAACGAAGACGTTCTTCCCGGACGCGACGGCGGCGTATAAGATAGTTGGCAAGATGGAGGTGGACAGGCTCGTCACCCAGATGTTGACGGGGCACGGCGGATTCTCCGAGTACTTGCATCGCTTCAAGTGCAAGGAGAGTCCGTCGTACGTCTGCGACCCTGGATGTCCAGAGTCTGCCCTCCACGTTCTTTTAGAGTGCCCGGTACACGATAGAGACAGATTTTATTTAGAAGCACAAATCGGATTAAAACTAGATAAAAATGCACTACCAAAAATTATGAAAGACAATAAAAAAAGAGATAAATTCCTGCAATACTGTAAAAAATATGTAAAACTGTAAACAATAGAAATAAGAGTTAGTAATAATATGTTAAACAAATATAGTATAGTATATTAGTGGTAACATATATAATGTATAGTGTATAAATAGGATAAGTCTAATAATAAGAGCATATATAAATAAGCCTAAACTGTAAATAAAAATTACCGACTACCCCCAATTATTATCCCCGTGTTACATAGTATAAGAACAAAGAAAGTAAATAAAATAGATAGATAGATAGTTAGGAACGAATGCGGATGAATGATAGAAAGACATAGTATGCGGAATGAAAGTGCGAGAAGCATAAAAGCGAGAACTGGTATGAAAGAAGTCGAAAACACAGACTCCTTCCCCCATGTTGGAGGTTAAGTTAAAAAAAAAAGATCTCCCTACCAGCCCCCCCAGCCCCCCACCCCCCGTGACTATTTTGAAGACTTCCATCCCTGAACGGGTCACATAGTATGGGTATGTATACCTAGTATCGTATCATCTTGAAATACGATTAATCTAATACGTTATTAGGACTGTTGTTTTAAAAACTATAATTAGTATATATTATATATTTTGTATTAGATAAAAAAAATCACCATGTTTAAAAGAGGATAGATAAAACAATTAATTAGGCACCTACTATCTTTCCTGTTATCAAAATGATTTAAAATATCGCGTAATAATAGTGAATGACTCTAGGACTGATTAGTATTTTAAGTCAATCTTTTATAATTGGTCAACAGATCGAAGTCTAATACATTCTGCATTTTAAAATAAAACTATCTTTTCGGATTTTTTCAAAAAAATCCGCGAACAAAACCAAAAAGATAGTTTTATTTTAAAACAGATCGAAATCATTGAAAAAAATTGAATGGCGAAAGTAAAGATATTTTATTATATATAATAGGAGAACATCTTGGGCTTTCGCTTAAAGAAATATACAAGCACTATAATTATTGATTTATAAGGGCTCCTTGTGAAATAAAAAAAACATTGCATAATGCTAATATTATAATATAGGTGAATTTATTTTTAACTTTCTCACTATGTAATATCTTACCAAATTATGAGTGATATCCGAAATAGATATTGCTATATACCAACCACCACGGTACCGCGGTACCACGCAAGTGGAACCGCAGGTAACAATTAGTATATAAAGAAATGAAATTCATACTACTGAGTACTTACTTGTTGAACTTCAGCAGTAGTAGACCTAAACAGCTCGATGTATCTCGCTCCAATTAGCTTACGATGTCGAGAGAGTGCTTTAGGCGTGTCTTCCTCTTTGGAGAAGAGTACGAAGGCATCACCTGTGGCCCTCCCGTCGGCCCTCCGAACGAATAGAATACCCTCCGCGCCATCTAACACTTGAACGGGATCGTCGCCCGTTGAGAAGAATTCCAACTGAAAGATACGACGTTTTAAGTAATAATATTATAATAAGCAAATAATTCAAAGATAAATATAATATTTGCTGACAATACAATACAAAATTTAAAATTTGTATAGGTATATATTTGTTACATATCGACGCTGAAAGGGCTAGAAAGATTCGCAAATACACAAGACTACTAGCGACTCACACTCGTTTCACTTCGGTTTCGTACCTAGAAAATAACAAATCTATCCTACGGGAACCGTATATTTTTCCGGGATAAAAAGTAACCTATGTGCTATTCCAGACTATATTCTATCTCTGTGCTAAATTTCACCCAGATCCGTTCAGCCGTTCTGTCGTGATTGAGTAACAAACATCCACACTCACAAACTTTCACATTTATAATATTAATACGGATATTAGTATGAATGAATGAAGTGGGGGCAAGTCTCTAGCATAAATATAATACACAATAAAAACAAGAAAATTTTGTTAAAATCTTATCAGACACGAAGTTTGCTACTTTTATAACCAAGTTGTGCAACATATAAAACATTTAATGGCCTATTTATGGTGTTTTCATACAACTGATATCTGACCGATAACTACATACTATTCTATACGAAAGAAAGTTTTTTAAATCTATTTCATTTGTAAATTTTGTGTTGTTATTTGTTAGTTTTATACCGATTTTAACTAAACTTTGTGTAGTGATAACTTATAACTGCAACATTAGGGATACCTTTTGCTACAGGAAATCTTTCATTCATAATAACTGGTTCTTTCTATCAAGTCGTTCTTAGAAATTTACATGTCTAACGATGGCTAAACCTAGGTACATCAAAACAATGTACCTACTAGAATATTGTAGGTAAGTGTAAGGCCTACAGAAAAATCTGCAATAGCATAAGTCTTTCTCCTAAGATACACTCGCAATAACCATATCTATTTTAAACGTACCTAGGACGCACCCGAGCAAATATTATAAAGAAAAGTTTGTGATTTTGTGACGTTGTAGGGGGTAATATCTGGATCTACTGAACTGATTTAGATGAAATTTGGTAAAACATAGTTTGAAACCGTGTGAAGGACATAGAATACTTTTTTCCCGGAAATCATCCCTTAAGGGGGTGAAAATGGGGATGAAAGTTTGTATGGGGAATAAAGCTAGGCACGAACCCGAGCGAAGCTAGGGTGAGTCAGTAGTAATAAATAGAAACGTTTTATTTTTTCTGTAATGGGTTGGATTGCAGTAACAATCACAAATCGTCATGCCGGTGTGACGTATTGAAGAAAAAGCCACGAATGAATAAAAATTTTATGTTTATTTGTTTAAACCGCAAATGCTAGAGTTCTTCAACCATTGTTTTAAAGTTTTGACACAAGTTGTTTTACATGAAGGTTTTCAGCACACATTGTAATTTGAACTCACAACTTGTTGTGGTGTCGCATCGTAGGGCAGGCCGCGCATACGCACGATGACTTGGGCGCCGCGGGATAAGAAAACGGCTGCTTCACTCGTAGCCCCGCCGGCTACTGAAAGAAAGTCTTCCCCACTAGCCCGGTATACCTGGGAAAATAGAATAGAATATATAAAGTTATAAAATTCTATTTCTGACACACACTTCTAGCAGATACAAAAAACGACGAATAATAAAAAAGGTAATCATATCTGCATGATATAACAATATATAATTTTATGCTAAACGTTCTGAGTCTAAAGGAAGAGCTAAACAAGACAAATATCTTATCAGGGGTTAAAGCGAAACATACATACATATACTGTGAATATGTTTGTTATTCCGGTGAAACGGCTGGACTGATTTGGATGAAATTTGCCGAAATATGACTTTATCTGTATTAATACAAAAAACATCTAGGGAAGCACCCGAGCGAAGCGAAAATAAATGCACATATATTAATAAATTATATATCAATATATGTATATGTAATATGTATGTTTGTGTCTTATCACTTACTTCAATGTACCGCGGGCCGATATGGTGTTTGTGTCGTTTGAGCGCCATGTCTCTATGTTCCTGAGACACGAAGCGTACCAGAGCCTCTCCGTTACGTCGACCCTGGGGCGAGAGGCACAGAGCTACTCCACCCCTGAAACAGAAATTATTAGTATAGTAAGTATTTAAAAGATTCGTCCTACGTCCCACGTCCCACTGCTGGGCACAAACCTCCTATCCCTCCTCCTCCATACGAGGGCGATGAGGATTGTAAAAAAGCAGACTAAAAATGTATATATATAAATGTATATATATATATATATACATATATATATACATTTATTATTTATTATATATATATATATATTTATTTATATATATATAAATATATATACATTTATTATTTATTATTTATTATATATATATATATATATATATATATATATATATATATATATATATATATATATATATATATCATATATATAATTATAAAATAACAATTCTACGTTCAGTTACTAAAAATAACTTTTAATCGAATATGAGTGTCTTAAAAATAGGACTCAATATTTATATAACAATATTCTTACTTGGCCACATTGAGTCCCCGGAAGAATTTGGCAATATCTTGGTCAGAGGATTGCCAAGGTAGACCCCGAGCTCGTACTATGCAGTTGCCGTCTATTTCATCGTCTTTTGAGCTAGAACAAACAAATACAACGTTTTCAATAAAATGTGTCATTTGTCCACATAATAAATTTGAGAGGATTTTATTAATTTATCATTTTTCATACAGGTAAAGATCAATTGTTATTGATGTGATGTTTTACACGGAGTTAATGCATCGAAGAGTGCCATATATGCCTGTACCTAGTTTCTTTTCATAATGGGCAGTGTATTAGCAAAATTGAACTACGGGCACTCAACCGTAGGCATGCCATCTCTATATAGGGTATCATTTCTGTATCTATAAATAGGCAGTGACAAAATAAGTAGTTCAGTAATTTTTTTCTCCTTTGTTTTAATTTTTTTTATAAATTGATTTTCTTTTTTTTTTATAAATTGCATATTATTTTTTTTCATGTTATTAATAATGATTATGGTCAAATATTGGCCACTGGGCGAGCACTAGTCTATAAATATAATAAAATTCTGACTTAGTCGAGTCATAAATAGTCATTATTATCGATACAGAGGCCGAATCTATAGTTTTTAAATTTTTTATCTATCTGTCTGTCTGGGAACGCGTCAGGAGAGAACCACTAGACAGATTTTGATGTAATTTAGCATGATGATAGCTGGTTATCCGGGTCAACGTATAGGATACTTTTTATTGCAAGAAAATATCTCATCTCTAAGAAATTTATACTAACCTTTAAAACGTATCCAGGGACAAACTTGAACGGAGCGAGGGTAAGTCGCTAGTTACATATAAATACATTTTTATTGACATATTATTTATAGTGAAAAAATTTTTTATCATTAAAGGAGGCTAGTAAAAATACATAAAAACATATAAATAATTTGATTAAATATATGGTGTAGCACGTTTTAGTCCCTGTCGATTTCCATATCGTAATAAGAAAATATAGGTACTACGTGTATAAGTACGTATACGCGAAGTGTAACTTGTGAGCCAAAGTTTATCACAATTATGAATCTTTAAAATTATTTAATATTATATATTAAGTATAATTTTCTAAAAATTATAATATTAGTTTTTCGTTAAAACGACTATCTCGATTTAATGTTTGCTCATCGTCATGGTCCGACTGACTTGCCTATACATAGTTTGATTCTAATCTATGTAATTTATAATAAACCAACATTTTTAGTATTTCACAGATGATGACAGATGGACAAACGAAATTAAGACGCAAGATCCAATTCATACACTCTTCAATTTTTATATGTACCATCAATAACCCCGACCCACCAATCTAAACTCAGGGTTGTTTCTGAGAATTTGTTTTACAGTAAAATCTAGAAAGTAGAAACTCTTTCACTCAAAACTTGAACCTACCCCCAAACCACCTTTAAAGCTACTAATCTAAGCTAGCTTCGAAAACAAAAACTTGTTGCGTAGTAAAATTTCGACATTTTTTAAGAATAATTTATACTTTTGATATCTTAAGTACGTTTTTTATTAATCGTTTGAATCTTTTAACCTCACAATGTTAACAGTGATAAGCCAAGCGAGACCACACTATGATTTAAAGACCATCTTATTAAAGATTACATATTTTTGAGGTTTGTGTATTTAATTTTGGTTATTATTTACGGTAATGAATGCGCATCTAGATAAGATGCGGATACATATATAAAATTATTTATAATTTAAGCCGTGTTTGTTCATTATAAGTGTAGATACGTTTTAACGGTTAATATGGAATAGATAGACTTTAATATATGTGCATACTGCATAGCCCATAGGTACAAAATAAACAGTTCTGTACTTTTAGATTTTTCAGCTGTAAAGTAAGTTCCAGTTTCAGTGTAACTCGATATTGTCAATTGTGAATCGATTTTTCATAAAACTTTTTTTATTAATGTATACTTTATATGTACCTCAAAAAAATAAAATTAAGTAATTTTAAAGTCGGTGGAACTTTTTTTGTAATAAAAAAATAATACATAATCTCTTTTATTATCAATGTGAAGTCTCGATTTTTTATCGTGATAATCGATTGGATTGGGCAACTCAACTAATCTGTTTATCAGTTAGTAGCTACTTATAAGTAGATAATTATTAGATCGTTAGCCCCAAAACGTTCTAACACAAATTAAAAAATAAATAAATGTAACATCGGGATTCATTGTAAAAGTGTGTCTGTTAGTCTTACACGCTGAAACGGCTGGACGGGTTTAAATGAAATCTATACTAATATAATAATCTAGCGACTTGCCCTCGTCTCGCTCGGGTTCATCCTAGGTTGCTTCTCCATACAAATTTTTAACTCTATTTTCACCCCCCTAAGGGATGATTTCCGGAATAAAAACCATCCTATGTCCTTTCCAAGATCTCAAACTATCTTCTTACCAAATTTCATCTAAATCGGTTGAGTAGTTTCGGCGCTTATTCAGTACAATGCAACAAACAAACAAAAAAATCTTTACTCTTTATAATATTAGTATAGAGTATTGATAGGTAAACTTTGTTTGTTTGTAGGGGATAATTTCTAGAACTATTGAATCGATTTCAAAAATTCTTTCACTAATAGAAAGCTACACTTATCCGTGACAAATATAGGCAATATTTTATTTTGATTTAAAAAAGTTTTCTGTTTTAAATCTTAATATTTGCAAATCTAATGAGAGTAATAAAATAAAGGGAAAGACATAGGATACTTTTTATCCCGAAAATCATCCCTTAAGGATGAAAATGGGGATGAAAGTTTATATGGGGAATCAACCTAGGGACGAACCCGAGCGAAGCGAGAGTGCGTCGCTAGTATTTTTATATTTCTAAAAATATTCATCTGTTAATTTATTACAAATATATTATATATTGCTGTTTTGTTAATTTTCCATAGATATCTTGAAGTTAGTTCTATTATATAAGGAATATTTTGATAATCAACAGTTACATTCGATAAGTACAATTTATTTAGTTTTTGCCTACTTATGACTAATCTATATTATATTTACGATATTAATTGAGTATATTGAATTTCGACACATACGATATATAAGTAGTATTGCTCGCTTGGAAAACCAAGTCAACCAAGTGATCCGAATTCAAGCCCGGGTTTCGCACTTTTATGATTTTTATAAGCTAATTATTGTCAACATGTTTATCATTAGCTTATAACAGTAAAGCAAAACGTCCTCAAACCTGCACGTCTAAAAGATCATAACAAGTTTTTACAAGACGGTGAAATGAGCTGAATTAATATTAAATATCATTATAAAAATGACACATAAGATATAAAAGAAAACAAGCTTTTCAAAATGAACTGATTGGTGAAAATATTACAGTTATCTAAACCATTCTAACGTACATAAATATTTGTTACTTCTTCACATATTATATTAATTTTGGTCAATTAAAAGATTTTAAAATTCTTGTCTACCAATTTGGATTTAATAAATAATTACAGCCACTCGACACTTCCATATAAATAATCAAAATACCGAGTGTTAGAAAGAAAAATTGCGATTGCTAAAGTTTATTTAGATAAAACTAGCGGCTCACCCTCGCTTCGCTCGGGTTCGTCGCTAGGTACGTTTTAAATAGATATAAATAGTTATTAGCCAGTGTTATTAGCCATATGAATATATTTTTTCTTGAATTATAAATAGTGTAACTAACACGACTTTATTTTATATATATATAGATGTATGGCACGAAATAGAAAACCTTCTCTTCGCATCTTTGTATCTTATTTATATTTTTACTCGACTGCGGCGAAGTCCAAAGGAGGTTTATGTTTTTGACCTGTATTGTCTATACATATAATAAAATTGTAACTAAGTCGAATCTGTACATTAAACATTTTTTGGAAAATCTTAATTAAATAAACATTATTATCGATACAGAGGCCGAATCTATAGTTTTCAGAATTTTTGCCTTTCTGTCTGTCTGTTACCGCATCACAGAAAAACCACTGGAGGGATGAAATTTGGTATGGTGATAGCTGGTTATCCGGGTCAACATAGGTATAGGATACTTTTTACCGCGGGAAAATGTCTCATTTCTAAGAAAAAATACAAAAACTTCAATGTAAGAGTATACTAATATGTAAAATCTAAGAATTTGGTTTTTGGTCATCTAAACGCGGGCGAAGCCGCGGGCAATGCTAGTATTTAATATAAAGCAATCTTTGAAAAAAGAGACATTTTACAACTGAAGTTTTTATATTTCGAATCCTAGTGTATATTTGAAGTGTGTATTATTTGAAGCAGAAAAAAATAATTTTAAAATCACAAATCAAACGTTTGAGAAAGAAACAGTATTTCGTTATCGAAGGCCTAAACAACGGTCACGCCGTCATGAGCTGAATGCGTCGTAAAATTGCAATACAGGCACGCTATTGGAAATACTTACTTCAAAATGGGAAAATAATTTTACCTACATTATAAACGTTTGTCATTTCAGCTAGGAAGAATAAGGAAGGAGTAGATGTAATATGATAGATAGGTGCTTGAAAAATTGCAACTATAGGATTTTATTTTCTTCGTAAATATATACTTGAATGAACCTAACGAGTATTTTTTGAATACTAAGGCAAGTACGAGCACAAAATCTGTTCGTTTTTAATAGTCGACCATAGTACTAAAATGTACGCAATACCTCGACAATTACTCACTTATATATTTATTACCTATGGATAACATAGCAACTTTCATCGTGTGTTGCTACTCAAAAATGTTAGTTGGCGACAACTTAATACCAGTTCCCATAGAAAACTCTTTTAAGAAGCGAAAATTCTACCAGGTAGTTCATACACTGCACATATATACTGCAATGCCATTGAGTCACATAAGACCGAGGAGTAGGGAACTTTAAAACGCTATATCATCGCTATTTTTGACATTTAAAAAAAAACTATTTTTTTTTTAACTTAAAGTTCGATTTTAATTTATAATCATAAAACTTCCCCATTGCACGAAAAAATATTAAACGCTAAAATCCAGGCAAAAACATGGAATAATCATTCGATTAGTAAATGGATATCGAATTATTCACAATCCTTCCTTG